TCAATCCTGTTAAAACAATTTCAAGAATGTAATATAGCTACATAAGGTAACTTGTACAATTTGTACTACAATGGTAAACTATGGTCTACAATGTAAACTATGGTATACAATGGGTAAATCTAAGCTCAATTGTCTTCATACTTGCAACTTTAACAGTCGCCGTCTGGTGAATCCTTCCTAATACAGCTAACCCTTCGTGATAATCTTAGTCCTGGCTTGTCTCTGTAGAGCCTTCCTGCGTCTCACTACATGGTAAAATGTCTACCTTCAAACACCGTGACCTATAACCTGATTCCTCCTTGTTCTCTCCTCTTCCCTCCTTTTTTCCTTTTCTACCTTTGAGTTTCTTCTCCTGTTATATGTTCCTTCTTAGTATCTATGTTCCCTCACTTATGTGTTCTTGCTTACCCTCTGATGGGCACCTAGCTCCCTTGTGGCACCTAGCTCATTTGGGACCTAGCTCATTGTGGCACTAGCTTCCATTGCAGTCTCCTCTTAGTATTTGACATGCGTCCTCCACTTCTTTATTACCATCCCCAGCACTACTATCTTCTAGTCCACTACTACTACTACTAACACTACTACTGACTACTACCACCTCCTAGTCTACTAAATACCCTTCCTCTCTCCTTTCGTTAGTGGACTTTTTAAATGGTCCAAGTCGTACCGAAACGCGTGGTAGCTCCTCTCTTCTATGTGCGGTTATTTGGTTGTTATTCATGTCACGATATGTTACTTTTTCTTGTTATTTATGTATTACAAGTATAACTATGTACTAACTATGGTACTTAAAGTCTACTACTGACTGGGCAACTACTCTGCTACAAGGGTATAAGCTACTGTGACTACAAGGTAACTATGGTACTACAAGGGTAAACTATGGTACTACAGGGTAAACTAGCTGTACACAAGGTTAGCTATGCTACTACTAGGGTATTGACTAAAGGTTAGTACTACTGTCTGTGTCTACAGGGTCAAACTGTGGTACTACATAGGCTTAAACTTGGTACTACAAGGGTAAACTACTGTACTACAAGGTACTATACTACTACGGTACTACTACTACAAGGTAAACTTGGTACTATCAAGGGTAAACTACGACTCCAAGGTAACTATGTACTTACAGGGTAAACTACTGTACTACAAGGTAAACTAGTACTACAAAGGGTAACTTGCTACAAGGGTAACTGTGTACTACAAGGTAATACTGTGCTTTTACAAAGTTAATCTATGGTACTACAAGGGTAAACTACTGTACTACAAAGGTAAACTATGGTACTACAAGGGTAAACTACTGTACTACAAGGGTAAACTATGGTACTACAAGGGTAAACTGTGGTACTACAAGGGTAAACTGTGGTACTACAAGGGTAAACTGTGGTACTACAAGGGTAAACTGTGGTACTACAAGGGTAAACTGTGGTACTTGTGAAGGCTTACTCAGCCCTGTAACAACTTCAGTCAGTATTACCAAGGCTGGCTCCTCCTCAGGAAAATTAATGAATAGAAAAAGAAATAATAACAGACAATGATAAACACTTTATTATTTAGAAACGGAAAATGTAAAACAATAAAACATGAATGGTTATCCTAATTGAAAGAAAAATGAAAAATGAAATGAAAAAAAATTACATTTGAACTCAACGCTAATATAGGTATATCGTGGTAATGGGGTGTCAGGTGTTGGTGACACTGCATGTTGTTGAAATCGTAGCCGTTGCTGATGTAGGGGGGGGGGGGGGTAGCAGGTGTTGGTGACCACCACCGCCTCGTTCTTCACAGAGTATGGCCGTGAGTAATTACTTCAGATGACAGGAAAACAGGTTCGTTACCACTGCTATGATGAGGGTTAGGTCCTGTGTTGGCTTACATAACAGGTAAGTAGATTAAACATGGGACGTCTCAGGACGTTAGTCCGTCTCCTTCTATTCTTCTCGTTGGTTGGCAGGTGACCCTCTCTGTCATTCCAAGCTGTAAAGAGAGACAGATTACCCACTGCTTAAGAAATCACTCTCCATGATAAGTACAATACCTAAAAGAATGTGGTGATTATTAAAACATTAACAGATAAAGACTGAAAGGACTAAGTTAATTAATGGTCAAAAGTGAAGTTTTCAACCAATAAGTCCACTAAAATATGATCAGCGTGTACTTACAGTAGTGTTGGGAGCTGTGAGTCGAGTGATTTACTGTTTGACCGGAGCCCCACACGTCACCTTTCGGGGGGATGAAGAGGGAGGGGAAGGGATAGCAGGAGCTAGACTGGCCCTACCTTAACAAGCAGCCGGCAATCAAACTATCACTTTCGGGGAGGGGGAAAAAAGGGGGGGGGGGAATATCGGGAGCTGGACTTACCCTACCTTAACAAGTAGCCGGCAATGAAACTATTGTTACTATACACTCCCTCGCTACTCCTATCTATTGAACTTTTCCTTCACTAAGCTATGGTATTACAAGGGTAAACTATGGCACTAAACTATAGTACTAAAAGGGTAAACTATGGTACTAAACTATGGTATTAAACTATGGTATTACAAGGGTAAACTATGGTGCTACAAGGGTAAACTACTGTACTACGAGGGTAAACTATGGTACTACGAGGGTAAACTATGGTACTACAAGGGTAAACTACTGTATTACAAAGGTAAACTATTGTACTACGAGGGTAAACTATGGCACTACAAATGAAAACTATGGCACTACAAGGGTGAACTATGTTACTACAGAGGTAAACTATGGTACTGCAAGAGTAAACTATCTTATTCTCTCACTCTTACTCTTATTTTATCACTCTTATTCTTTCACGCTTATTCTCTCACTCTTATTTTCTCACTCTAATTCTCTCGCTCTTATTCTCTCTTATTTTCTCACTCTTAATCTCTCACTCTTATTCTCTCACTCTTATTCTCTCACTCTTATTTTCTCACTCTTATTTTCTTACTCTTATTATCTCACTCTTATTCTCTCACTCTTATTCTCTCACTCTTATTCCCTCACTCTCATTCTCTCACTCTTGTCTCACTCTATTATCTCACTCTTATTCTCTTACTCTTATTCTCTCATTTCTTATTCTCTCACTCTTATTCTCTCACTCTTATTCTCTCACTCTTATTCTCTCACTCTTATTCTCTCACTCTAATTCTCTCACGCTTATTCTCTCACTCTTATTCCCTCACTCTCATTCTCTCACTCTTATTCTTTCACTTATATTCTCTCACTCTTATTCTCTCACTCTTATTCTCTCACTCTTATGTTCTCACTCTTATTCTCTCACTCTTATTCTCTCTTATTTTCTCACTCTTATTCTCTCACTCTTATTATATCACTCTTATTCTCTCACTTTTATTCTCTCTTATTTTCTCACTCTTATTCTCTCACTTATATTCTCTCACTCTTATTCTCTCACTCTTATTCTCTCACTCTTATTCTCTCACTCTTATTCTCTCACTCTTATTCCTTCACTCTCATTCTCTCACTCTTATTCTCTCACTTATATTCTCTCACTCTTATTTTCTCACTCTTATTCTCTCACTCTTATTCCCTCACTCTCATTCTCTCACTCTTATTCCTTCACTCTCATTCTCTCACTCTTATTCTCTCACTTATATTCTCTCACTCTTATTCTCTCACTCTTATTCCTTCACTCTTATTCTCTAACTCTTATTCTCTCACTCTTACTCCTTCACTCTCATTCTCTCACTCTTATTCTCTCACTCTTATTCCCTCACTCTCATTCTCTTACTCTTATTCTCTCACTCTTATTCCCTCACTCTCATTCTCTCACTCTTATTCTCTCACTCTTATTCTCTCACTCTTATTCTCTCACTCTCATTCTCTCACTCTTGTTCTCTCACTCTTATTCTCTCACTCTCATTCTCTCACTTACATTATTTCACTCTTATTCTCTCACTTATATTCTTTCACTTATATTATTTCACTCTTATTCTCTCACTCTCATTCTCTCACTCTAATTTTCTCTCACTCTTATTCTCTCACTCTCATTCTCTCACTCTAATTCTCTCACTCTTATTCTCTCACTCTCATTCTCTCACTTATATTATTTCACTCAAATTCTCTCACTTATGTTCTCTCACTCTTATTCTCTCACTCTTATTCTCTCACTCTTATTCTCTCACTTATATTCTCTCACTCTTATTCTCTCACTCTTATTCTCCCACTTATATTCTCTCACTCTTATTCCCTCACTCTCATTCTCTCACTTATATTATCTCACTTATATTATTTCACTCTTATTCTCTCACTTATATTCTCTCACTCTTATTCTCTCCCTCTTATTCTCTCACTTATATTCTCTCACTCTTATTCTCTCACTCTTATTCTCTCACTCTTATTTTTTCACTTATATTCTCTCACTTATATTCTCTCACTCTTATTCTCTCACTTATATTCTCTCACTTATATTATTTCACTCTTATTCTCTCACTCTTATTCTCTCACTTATATTCTCTCACTTTTATTATCTCTCTCTTATTCCATAAATTTATTACGGTATCACTTTTATTCCCTCTGGTTGGCTGGTTGGTTGGTTAGTTAGGTTTCAAGTCTATCTACCACACGATGTTGGTGGTTAAGGCTGGGTCACCACCGGTCAAGAATACTTTAGTACATAATACAGGTGTATAGGGTCAGTGTATACTCTTAAGTATACATATGTGTACTTAGATATACTATTATACTCATCTACGCTTGTATAAACTGTAGTTCACTGTTGTTAACTGCCCTAGACTGTGTTAACTTGTGTCATCACTGTAGTTCACTGTTGTTAACCGCCCTAGACAGTGTTAATTTGTGTCATCACTGTAGTTCACTGTTGTTAACTGCCCTAGACAGTGTTAACTTGTGTCATCATTGTAGTTCAGTGTTGTTAACTGCCCTAGACATTGTTAACTTGTGTCATCACTGTAGTTCACTGTTGTTAACTGCCCTAGACAGTGTTAACTTGAAGCATCACTAGTTCACTGCTGTAAACTGTCCCACAGGTACATGAGCAACAACTCAGAATAGTGAATATGTTAGACGACCACCAGAAGCAACTCCTGAAACAACACAAGACATTCGGGAATATCTTCAGCCTGGCTGCTGCCTCCTTGTTCCAGCGTCCCCTCTGATGTTTCCCTCTCTTTCTACCAGAATAAATGAGAGTTTCGCGGCTGCAACACTTCACAAGTCATCCACACTCTGGAGAGGGAACTTAAGACAAGGTTTCGCTCCCTTCCTTGACCATCATCAAGACCAAAGTGAGCTAGAGGCTAGCCGGAAAGTTTTCCCATCATTTTCTCAGCTGTGGTTTGATAATGGTCCAGGACTGGTCGAAACATCGTCTAAGAGTTTTCTCTATTAATAAAGTATCCATGTCACTAACTGGATTGGTCGAAACATCGTCTAAGAGTTTTCTCTATTAATAAAGTATCCATGGCACTAACTGGACTGGTCGAAACATCGTCTAAGAGTAAATTCTGGTAATGTTAAATTTCTGGCCAGATGTTTATTAGATTTTCGTTGGAAACGTTAAGGTCCATTCACTGGCATCTTTGTTGTTTGTGGTCCAATTTCAAGTGTAACTTTATGCTGTTGTTAAGGAGCAGTTTGCATCCTATACACATGTTTGCATGGACTTCTTGTTGCAAAGTTGCAAGATATTGCAAAATTGTATTTATCATAAATCCCACCGATTTCTACAAAATTAGTAAGTTGTACAATGTTCTAGTCAACATCAGATGAAAGATAAAAAGTTAGATTATCTAGATTTCAAACTTTCTTGCGAGAAATGTCAATAGATTACATTACAAAAACTTTTGAAATTTGTTTTTTTTGGGGGGGCATTTTTTGTGAGAATAAGAGTCAATAAAAACAAAACGGTAAAACATATTGCAAAACGACTTTCAGAAACCAAATAGAACCATCATTCTTCAATATTGTCTGAAAAAATCATGACACTCCTATTATTACTCTGAAAAAATGTGAAATGAATGTAAATAACTTATTCCTGAGTTATTAAAGTTTTTGTTTCAATAAAAGTCTATGGAGATGAAACACCAGATCTGAGCGTGTTGCAAACCCCTTTCATTGTTGATTAACCAGATTTGAGGGGTTGTTGCAAACCCTATCTTTGTTGATAACCCAGAGTGAGCGTGTTGCAAGTCTTATCATGTTGAAAACCCCAGAGTGAGCGTTTTTGCAAACCCCTTTCATTGTTGATAACCCAGAGTGAGCGTGTTGCAAACCCCTATCATTGTTGATAACCCAGAGTGAGCGTGTTGCAAACCCCTATCATTGTTGATAACCCAGAGTGAGCGTGTTTGCAAACCCTTTATTTTTGTTGATAACCAGAGTGAGCGTGTTGCAAACCCTATCATTTTTGATAACCCAGAGTGAGCGTGTTGCAAACCCTTCATTGTTGATAACCCCAGAGTGAGCGTGTTGCAAACCCTATATTGTTGATAACCCGAGGGGAGCGTGTTGCAAACCCTATCATTGTTGATAACCAGAGTGAGCGTGTTGCAAACCCCTATCATTGTTGATAACCCAGAGTGAGCGTGTTGCAAACCCCTATCATTTTTTGATAACCCAAAAGTGAGCGTGTTGCAAACCCCTATCATTGTTGATTAACCCAGAGTGGCGTTTTTTGCAAACCCCTATCATTGTTGATAACCCAGAGTGGAGCGTGTTGCAACCCCTATCATTGTTGTAACCAGAGTGAGCGTGTTGCAAACCCCTATCATTGTTGATAAACCCAGAGTGAGCGGGGTTGCAAACCCTATCATTGTTGAAAACCCAGAGTGAGCGTGTTGAAACCCTTTCATTGTTGATTAACCCAGAGTGAGCGTGTTGCAAACCCCTATCATTGTTGATAACCCAGAGTGAGCGTGTTGCAAACCCCTATCTTTTGTTGATAACCCAGAGTGAGCGTGTTGCAAACCCCTTATCATTGTTGATAACCAGAGTGGCGTGTTGCAAACCCCTATCATTGTGAAAACCCAGATGTGAGCGTGTTGCAAACCCCTATCATTGTTGATAACCAGATGTGAGGTGTTGCAAACCCCTATCTTTGGGTTGATAACCGAGTGAGGTTTTTTCCCAAACCCTTATCATTGTTGATAACCCAGATTGAGCGTGTTGCAATAACCCTATCATTGTTGGATAACCAGAGTGAGCGTGTTGCAAACCCCTATCATTGTTGAAAACCCCAGGAGTGAGCGTGTTGCAAACCCCTATCATTGTTGAAAACCCAGAATGGCGTGTTGCAAACCCCTATCATTGTTGATAAGCCAGAGTGAGCGTGTTGCAAACCCTATCTTTGTTGATAACCCAGAGTGTTTCGTGTTGCAAACCCCCTTATCATTGTTGATAACCCAGAGTGAGCTTGTTGCAACCCCTTTCATTGTTGATAACCCAGAGTGGCTTGTTGCAAACCCCTATCATTGTTGTAAACCAGAGTGAGGTGTTGCAAAACCCCTATCATTTTTGATAACCCAGAGTGAGCGTGTTGCAAACCCCTATCTTTGTTGATAAGCCAGAGTGAGCGTGTTGAAAACCCCCTATCATTGTTGTATAAGCCAGAGTGAGCGTGTTCCAAACCCCTATCATTGTTGATAAACCAGAGTGAGCGTGTTGCAAACCCCTATCCTGTTGATAACCCAGAGTGAGCGTGTTGCAAACCCCTATCATTGTTGATAAGCCAGAGTGAGCGTGTTGCAAACCCCTATCATTGTTGATAAGCCAGAGTGAGCGTGTTGCAAACCCCTATCATTGTTGATAACCCAGAGTGAGCGTGTTGAAAAACCCCCTTATCATTGTTGATAAGCCAGAGTGAGCGTGTTGCAAACCCCTTTCATTGTTGATAACCTAGAGTGAGCGTGTTGCAAACCCTTATCATTGTTGATAACCCAGAGTGAGCGTGTGTTACAAAAAACGCGATTCTAAAAGCTTAGAGATCTCCAGTGAATACTAGAAAGGACTGCCCTTCTAGCATCCAGCCTGTTACTGGGTTTTCGTAACAATTAGTCAGTATCCTTGTCCAATTATCCATTAGAATTCGTTGATTTCAATAGTGCTTCAGGATTACAACTGGTAGGCTATAACTAGAAAAATTTAAAATTTAATAAATTTTATTAAGTCTAGAGGTTATTATCAAATTAAATTAAATTAAAATTAATCACAGTAATCAAAATAATATCACTTCTCTCGAGTACAATATTTTCTGTGTGAAAGCACATTCCATTTATAAAATTTTTAAGTACGTCTGGTACATTAACATTTAATAAGATTTTTACAAATATGTACAAAGTAAGTTTGTGTATGTGAGTAAGTGCTCTAAGTAGTTCGCTATGTCTCACGACTCGACTAGACTTAAACAAGTGACTGAAAAGTCCTCAAAATAAACTAACTTCTTGACCGATGACAACCAGAACGTTTGCTTGAACATAAAAAGAATGCTAAGCCCAATAGCAATATAGAAAGCAACTGCGACACAGAATCAGGAACAAGGAGATACATAACGACACTAAGTAGGGCCATCAGCAGATCCTCCACAAAAGTCACAAAAATCCCATAATACTGAATCTAAGTTCAGCATAAGGGAAAAACCCCAACTGTGATTATACACAGATACCAGTACAAGTTAGGTCAGAAACTACAGCTCAGGACTGGTTGCTCAGAGTCTATGCGAAACACAACCCCAGTACAACGTCGAAAATCATAAGTCTATACAATGTTCTGTGAACAGAGTTCTACAGAACTAACAAGAATTTAAAGAGACAGGCAATCTGTCCAACCACCAAGAGAGTCTAGACCAGACTGAAATATTCAGGCGAGGTGGAGGACACCCCCCCCTCAATCACGTGATAGCTCCGTGGGGCAGCTGCCCAGCAACAATGAGAAGCCGGCAGGGGAAACGAGCCACAAGCGATAATTACAGTAGTTAGACAATCACGACTTGAACTGAGCACATAATATGTTACATCCTACCTAACAACTAACTACGTCAAATAATATTATAAAGCAAATTATTCACGATTTAGTATTATCGCAAATAAAGCAGTATAAAATTATATGAAAAGATAATAATTATATTTTATATATACATAATAAAACATTGCAACCCTTCAGGGGTTGCAACAGCGTGTTGGGAAAACCCTTATCATTGTTGATAACCCAGAGTGAGCGTGTTTGGCAAACCCCTATCATTGTTGATAACCCAGAAGTGAGCGTGTTGCAAACCCCTTTTCATTGTTGATAAAAAAATAGCTGAGCGTGTTGCAAACCCTATCATTATTGATAACCAGAATGAGCGTGTTGCAAACCCCTATCATTTTTGATAACCCCGAGTGAGCTGTTGCAAACCCCTATCATTGTTGATAACCCCGAATGAGCGTGTTGCAAACCCCATAAATTTTTGATAACCGAGTGAGCGTGTTGCAACCTCTATCAGTGTTGAAAAACCCAGAATGAGCGTGTTGCAAACTCCTTCATGGGGTTTATAACCCAGATTGAGCGTGTTGCCCAAAACCCCTTTCATTATTGATAACCCACAGTGAGCGTGTTCAATCCCTATCATTGTTGATAACCCAGAGTAAGCGTGTTGCAAACCCCTTTCATTGTTGATAACCCAGAGTGAGCGTGTTGCAACCCCTTTTCATTGTTGATAACCCAGAGTGAGCGTGTTGCAACCCTGTCATTGTTGATAATTCCGGTGAGTGTGTTGCAAAAATCTTTTTCATGTTGATAACCAGAGTGAGCGTATTTTCAAAACCCTATAAATTGTTGATAACCCCGGTGAGCGTGTTGCAAACCCCTTCATTGTTTATAACCCAGAGTGGCGTGTTTTCAAACCCCTATCATTGTTGATAACCAGAATGAGCGTGTTTCATACCCCTATCATTGTTTACAACCCCGAGTGAGCGTGTTGCAAACCCCATCATTGTTTTATAAAACCCCGAGTGAGTGTGTTGCAAACCCTTATCATTGTTGAAACCCAGAGGGAGCGTGTTGCAAACCCCTATCATTATTGATTTAACCAGAATGAGCGTGTTGCAAACCCTTCATTGTTGATAACCCAGAGTGAGCGTGTTGCAAGCTCTTATCATTGTTGATAACCCAGAGTGGAGCGTGTTGCAAACCCCTATCATTGTTGATAACCAGAGTGAGGTGTTGCAAACCCTATTATTGTTGATAACCTAAGGTGAGGTGTTGCAACCCTATTTGTTGATAAGCCAGAGTGAGCGTGTTTCAAACCCCTTCATTGTTGATAGCCAGAGTGAGCGTGTTACCAAACCCCTTTTCATTGTTGATAACCAGAGTGAGTGTGTTGCAAAACCCTACCATTGTTGATATCCAGAGTGAGGGGTGTTTCAAACCCTTATCATTGTTGATAAACCCAGAGTTTAGCGTGTTGCAAACCCTATTTATTGTTGGTAAACCCCGAGTGAGTGTGTTGCAAACCTTATTATTGTTGATAACCCAGAGAGAGCGTTTTGCAAACCCCTATTATTATTGATAACCCAGAGTGAGTGTGTTGCAAACCCCTATCATTGTTGATAACCCAGAGTGAGCGTGTTGCAAACCCCTATCATTGTTGATAACATAGAGTAAGCGTGTTGCAAACCCCTATCATTTTTAATAAGCCAGAGTGAGCGTGTTGCAAACCCCTATCATTGTTGATAACCAAAAAGTGGGGCGTGTTGCAAACCCCTATCATTATTGATAACCCAGAGTGAGCGTGTTGCAAACCCCTATCATTGTTGATAACCCAGAGTGAGAGTTTTGCAAACCCCTATCATTGTTGATAACCCATTGTGAGCGTGTTGCAAACCCTTATCATTGTTGATAACCCATTGTGAGCGTGTTGCAAAACCCTTATCATTGTTGAT